GTAGATATGAAATTCGTATATCTTTTAAAATAAAAACTTTTCAAGTTGGTTATTGTCCGTGACCCGGATTTCTGGGAGAAAACGGATTGCAGATTTGAAGCCCAAATTAACTGACCACCATTTAAAAATCAAAAAAGTAAATCAGTGTTCAATCTTATCGTAATATATGAAAAAGTATAGTCGTTGTCTTATTAATGCGATGCGGACCAATAATTCTTCTTCACTTCGTTTCCAATGCAATACCATAAGTTGTTAACTGCCGGCATTTAAATACGAAATGAATATTGATTTTATGAAAATAAGAACTTAAATAAAATAATAATTTACAATTAATTATGGTTGGAAAAGTTGGCTTTTAAAGTTTCGAATAAGCAAACCAATTGCATTTTTTATATATTAATAAATCATCGTATCGAGGCTATTGGTTAATGTGTCTATTAGGTCCAAATCGATCACACTAGTGATTCATGTTCTTATAAGCATGGTTCCAGTAAGCAGTGGTTCCATTATTTGTGTAAACAACTGTTCTTTATCATTTTGATTTAAATTTTAGTGTTTTCATGTTTACGATTGTGACTGCAAATTTTTAAAATTTGCTAATGTTTTCGCTTTATAATTTAATAACAAAAATGATAAGAAATATTTGTCATCTTAAAAACAAAAAAAAAAAAACAAGCAAATAAAAGATAAGTGGTTTTAGTATTATAGCATAAAAATGGCTGAGTCGCCATAAAAGAGAAATTTAAAAAAAAAAACAACCCATCAATTCTCAATTAGTGGCTACTTGCTAATGAACGTTATCTCAAAACTCATCAATTTGGTGCTGTCTCATGGACTATAATTAAATACATTTAGCCGTTTGTATATTAAAAATATATGTTAATTAAAATTGATTTTAGTAACACAACAATAGTCATATACAGAAATCATATAAGACAAACTGTTAGTCGATGAATGTTAGATATTTGTTTAAGTAGTAAAAATCAATTTATTTTACTATATACTGCAAAAGCAAACACACGGAAAGAGTTTTATATACATTCATTGCCTTAATTCGATTGTGAATAATGAATATATCTAACATAACCTGTTTACTGAACACTTTTAAAACACCGTCCCGTAGGATTGCAATTATAATCACAAATGCAGATGACACTGCAATTCTTAGTAAATTACTGAAGTGAAAACACACTACAATTCCTAAGTGCTTTTAATAGATTAGTAAACTGTACAGCGACAACAGTCGTCATTTCTTAGAGAATATCATGTCTATCGATTAGTGTTGTATATGGCAAGCAAATATCTTGGAATGACGAACCTGCACTCTAAATTTGAATGAAAGGAGCACACTAAGGTATGAAAAGGCGCCTTAGAAAGTAAACTGCAAAGCCTTAAACGACTTATAGTTGAAAATTCGTTTCTATACAATTGATAATAAACTTATTTACTTGGCCATTACAGACGTGAGTTGTCCTTGGCTACGCCGATTAGCCTCCGTCAGTCAGCCTGATAAGTTGTTTGCTGTTGTTAGTTGGTAGTACCGTGTGCCCCCAAATCGTTATTCACTTGGTCCTTCTTCCACCGAAGATGCGGACGTCCTCTACCGCGTTTTCCTCCTGCGGCTACGTAAGCGACAATATAACAAAATATTGAAAATAAATTGAATGTACTATAAAGAGCGGTACCTTAAGGGTTCAGCAAAAAAATACGTTTAGAAATCTTACAGTGTTTTCAAAAAAAAATGTTGTCTAATCTACTACTGTACCCTCTTTAATACATAAGAAACAACGATCTATACGGTACACTCAATGTACCTACTATATTACCTGAACTAAAAAAATTGACGAAAAAATCTCAGGAAACACAAATATGCTTATTATAAATGAGTCAAGAAAACTATAGCAGAGTACTAAACCTTTTGATTTGAGAACTAGTGGTCCATACTCAATTACATTCTCTAAAATATTTTGATTCATTTATTTAAAATATACGATGAAAACAGCTTGTTGGTCAGATGTGACTAGACACTGTAGAACTCACTAGTATATACTATGTCAATATACTATGTGGATTTGTATATGTTTGTAATATAGCACCATATAAGATACGAGTATATAGAAATAGATACCGAGAATTTTTACTGGTAAACATGTATTATATCTCTTCTTATCGTAAAATTTGTTTTTGGTGACTTAGTTTCATTTGCTTTGATACACCAATTTTGCAAAATTGGAATGTACAAATATATTTTGAGTTAATTGTTGATGTTGTTGATGTTGTTGTTTGGTCCTTTTGATAGACACCCGTATCCAACGCTGCTCTACATGATTAAAGTGAACGATTTTTATATTTTTTACAGAATGGAAGAAATGTCAATAGAAATTAAAGTCGAAGTGGATAATGTTCATATTACATCGGCATCAACATTTGGCACTATATGGGATTGGGTTATTGACTTTAAACATGGTCGTATGTATACCCATTTATAATATAGCTCACTGGGGAGTTTAAATTAATGATGCTTAAACTTGGTTATATAAAATACGAAAACTGTATTTTGTATGTATTTAAATATTCACAAAATCGATTCTGGATTCAACCACTGAAACATCAATGCTGCAAAATACAGATTATGGATCATTACTTTTCGCCCTCAAGTTCTGCAGAATAATGCAGAATTTGACAGATTTGATTGTATGGAAAATTTTAACTTGCATTTTGGAGTGCTAATAATTACTTGCTTAATTTTTAGTTTATTTGATTAATTTTTATTTTATTATTAAAATTTTTTTTTATTATATTGTATTTTTTAAAATAAAAATTTTTATACGTATAAATGATTTGAAAAATGTTAACGAGAGCCTGGTTTATTAGATTTCTCTTTTTATTTGAGCTAATTTTATACAATATGTATATAGGCATTAAAATAATGCTTGCTAATAAACAAATTAGCTTAAATGAAATAATAAAAATTATTTGTTTTATTTAATGAATGAATGATTATAATTCTATTTTACTTTAGAATTTAATAATCTGATGGTAGTCTTTTTAAAGTTCTCAATATATACTATATATACATATACATACTATATATACAAATATATATATATATTTGTATATAATAAATGTGTATATATAATATATATAATAATATATATTAAATGTTTATATATAATAATATATAATGCCTTTTCTGGGTTAATGTTTTTTCTTATAGTTGATACCTGAACTTGCTTTTAATAGTCGTTGTAGTTATTGTTATTAGGAAGTTGAGGGATTTAAATGACAAAAGAAATATTCTGTTCTTGTTCTTAATTTGAATTTTAAAAATTTTATAATGTATATTTAAATCTCCATAATAAATGTATGAAATATATATTTAAATATTACGTATTGACTCAATTTTGATTTTTTTTTAATTTAATCCGTGAATATTCAGTGGGATACAAAGTTAGCAGTAGCCTTCGTGGATGACAAAAAATTCCCTCTGTTCTCTCCAATGCTTATACTTTCATAATAAAATTTGAACTTCATTATTATTGATTTGCATAATTCTAGAAAATTAAAATTAAAAATAGGATACTATTTATTCAATTTATTCTCATAATAAGTTGATTAAAAATTACAAAAAAAAATTTAAATAAAAAGAAATTCAATCAATACTCTTGTTTGTATCGGTATTCCATTCAATTTGCTTCACCGATGATAGAAGTAAGTGGAGTTCTTAGATATATAAGTTATATAGATGTTTTCAAATATGTAATGGATTGCAGCAAACTAAAAAAATAATTGAAAAGAGATCAGTGTTTGTAAAATTTTTGATAAACTCCTCGAAACTTTTCATTGACTGTTTAACTTAAACCCATAACCAGCAATAACAGTAACCAGTTATACTCCACATTATGTTTCCATTATCCAGGAATTTTATAAAGCAAGCTTTATAAAATATGATGCTTTAACTTGGAACCCAAAAGGAACGGGATAAAGAGGTAGGTTAAAGTCTATATGGTAGCAGTACATAATAAAACTAACAAATTGTGTATTCAACTTTGACTAACTACTAGCTATTTAAATAACTAGAAATATAATGTTTTAAAACTTCTAAAAAGAATTTAAAGTTAATTATTGTAAGGCCCCTCCCATCGTCTCCAAAAATAGAATCAGAAATTTGCTAACGGAAAAACGGAACTCTTCCCAAAAAATTTGAATAATTCGAAAAAACACAACTACATACGTTGTTACTGTTAATCCTAAAATTGAAACTTTGTTGTTCTGTTGTAACACCCAGTTAAAAAGTCAAAGGGGTATATCTTTTCAACTCATTACTTTTATCCGCTTCTTATGTCTTCCATACCCCGTTTATTCCGTTTGATTAAATCATAAAATTCAATGCAGAGTTAATGTTCATCATATTTCTACAAACTTTCATCTCAATTCTTTTTCGTTAAAGTTAAGTCCCTTTTTGGTTCATATTGCTTTTATCCAGGAAAACATTTCTTCAGTCTACGCGTGGGTTACTCAAAATGGAAGAAGTGTTCAATAATTTTTTGTAAACTTATTTTGGAATTATTATAATTTTGGAACCAAAACCAGATCTTTATCTTTACATTAGTTCATATGTAGCCAATTTTATGTATCTTAATATTTTTATTTGTTGTGCCATGCTTCTATATACTATTCTTTTTCTATTACAAATATAAAATAGATCCTTAACGGCCAGTCTCTCAGTTATGAACATAAGACATTCGCAGTTTGTAATGCCGCTTAAATATTTAAATATTTTTGATATATGTCAAGAGAATGATAAGTTGTAATATCTACATAAAGTTCCAATGGAACATGTCACATTTCCATATTTGTACAACATATCTTTGCATTACTCTACACACTTTTTCTGAAAAAGATCAATACATTTATGAACTTCATGCGATTAACGAAAGATTCTAAAAAAATATTTAATTAAAATTTGATTAAAAACTAAGAAACTTTTTACATTGTAGGTCTGATAGTTGGTGCTGTTATAAGATATGCAGACACATCAACAACACTTATACATTTGGTGGTTGATCCACAAGGTGATCCAAAGTTCAACCAAACTATACCACCAGATACGCTTTGGCTCAACGTAAATTTATATAATATTTTTTTATATTTTTCAAATCATTTAATACTGTTTTTTTAATAGTTTCCCGGAAAATTAGCACAAAATACCACCGATAAGGAGCCTATTGAAAATAAAACATACGCTTATGTATTTCGTGGCCAAGTTCATGATGTCGATGAAAATGAAATTGACTTGAAGGCAACTTTTGATCCGGAAATATTTTTCAATATTATATTACCACCAATTATATTTCATGCTGGTTACAGTTTAAAAAAGGTATAAGTTTAATATATTAAATAAGAAGAACTCATTTATTTAATTAACATTATATATATGTTTTCTCAGAAATATTTCTTTCGTAATTTAGGTGCTATACTAACATTTGCTATTTTGGGAACGACGCTATCAGCGTTCCTTATCGGTGCTATTATGTACGGTTGTGTGAAACTGATGCCAAAATATTTAAGTAGCAGTTACACATTTCTGGACACGCTGTATTTTGGAGCGTTGATATCACCAACAGATCCATTGACAATACTGGCAATATTCCACGATTTGCACGTGGATGTTAATTTATATGCCTTAGTATTTGGTGAATCTGTACTTAACGATGCTGTAGCTATTGTATTGAGCGGGTAAATATTTATTATGTAATAACTAAACCTTAATAATAATATATATATTTATATATATGCATATGTATATTTTAATATTTTAGTGCAATTCAAAACTACGGAGAACATTATTCAAGTACGGGTGAATTTGAAATTAACGCGTTCTTCAAGTCTCTGAGTGACTTCTTCTGTATTTTCATGTTTTCACTATTAATTGGTGCCACAATGGGTTGTTTTACGGCATTGATATCCTTTTCAAACCAAACAATAATTATTAATACTATGAACACTATGAAAGATTATTATTATTTTAACTTATACTGCCATTATTATTAATAACGTTTATTATTATTATGATTATTATTATTATGATTATTATTATTATGATTATTATTATTATGATTATTATTATTATGATTATTATTATTATGATTATTATTATTATGATTATTATTATTTTGATTATATTATTATGATTATTATTATTATGATTATAATTATTATGATTATTATTATTATGATTATTATTATTATGATTATTATTATTATGATTATTATTATTATGATTATTATTATTATGATTATTGTGAATACATAAAGGAAAAGAACGCAAGTTTGTATGTGGGCGACATCAAAGAAAGTGTAAATACAGTAATATTAAGATATTATTTAATAGTAATAATATTTATTTATTGATATTAAATTTAATATTGGATTGGTTTATAGTTTGGTTTATGTATATATGTAATGTTTATGTATACACAACGTATGAGTTTTTTAATATTTAAAAAAAAATCATGTTGGGATTGTGATAAGAAATCGGTTAAGTAGGGAACTGAAATTTCTTTACTCTCAAGACAAAATTTTTGGTTTGAACAAAATAGATGTGATTTATAGCATTATTTCTGTAAGTGTAAATATCAGAAAAATTCTTCTAAGTCTGTTATACTGAAATAACTATTCGACACTATTGTTTGTGTTATGTTAATTTGGTAATATAATCGGGTAATTGCATTATGTATTTAATAATGTTTTTCAATACGTATTACTTTTATGGTAATCTCTCAAATATTTAATATTGCAGTTAACAATATAATTATACATTTATATGTAATATTTAGAAATACAAATAAGTATATTTAATAGATTTCAATATATAGTTTATTTCTTAACTCATATCACACTTGACTAAGTTTACTCGCGTGCGAGATTTTCCTTTATTGGAGTCAGCATTATTTGTGCTTATGTCGTATAGCACGTTCCTTATTGCGGAGGCATCTGAACTTACTGGTGTTGTAGCTGTGCTGTTTTGTGGCATATGTCAGGCGCACTACACTTACAATAATTTATCAGAAAATTCTCGTACTCGAACAAAAGAAATTTTCGAATTACTGAACTTTTTAGCTGAAAATTTCATTTTTTCATATATTGGCGTTTCGATGTTTACCTTTCCCAAACATCATTTTGATGCTGTGTTTATAATTACGGGCTTTGTAAGTAAAAGTTTACAAATAACTAAATGTTAAAATCTTGATTCATTGTATTTTTAATTAAAGATTTGTGCCGCTTTTGGAAGAGCAGTGAATATTTATCCTTTATCCTGGCTTTTGAATTTAAATCGAAAACCAATAATCTCATCTAATTTTCAACATATGCTTTTCTTTGCTGGTGAGTTTTTTTTTTTTTTTTTTTGAAATTGTTTAAAAATAATAATTTTCTATTAAGAACTAGTTAATATTTTTATTTTAATTTAGTGAAGTATTTGTTATTTCTTGCTAGAAGAGTTAGTCCTTTTATGTTCAATGGGTTCAACCTAATTAATTAATTAGTTACTGAATAATTAGTAAGTAATTTGCTTTTCTACAAATGACCTATATATGTACCTATTTTAAATTATCAATTTTATTTTCCAATTAGAAAAAATCCATGCTTTTGTTTTCAAAAATTAATTTAAAAACGTATTTTCCTATAACATTTTCACATCGATCGTCAAAAATTTATATCATTTTAAGAAAACATATAAAAACTAAATTCTTTGAGATATTATAATTAATAAATTTATAATTTCGTTTATTAATTTTACTGAATGTGAGAGTTTTTAAACTCATTAGTGTGATGACAATCATGTCATCACACTAATTTTAATCTTAATAATCTTAATAGATTATTATTATTATTGAGTAATAATAATAATCGTGCACTGCGACCTAAAAGATCTATTGTGCCCCTTTGTTGGGTTAGAGTATTTCTCCAAGTCCGATTTCTTTAATGAAAGACAGTATGGATCCTATCTTCCCCAGTCTTGAATCCTTATGATCCATGAAATACCCTCCTAGGTGTTTCTTTCGCTTATGCATCATTGCCAGGCACTCCCCAAGCACATGGTATGCCGTTTCTCTCTCTTCCCTGCAGTATCTGCAATCTGAGTTGGATTGAATTTCTAACTTCGATAGGTGATTATTCAATCTGCAATCTTAATAGATAGTTATACTATACAAAAAAAAAAAAAAAAAAAAAAAAATTAATTAAATAATATAAAAAAAAAATAAAATTTTTGTTGTTGTATTTCACTACTATTCGAAAAAATCTCTTTATAAAAAATAATTTAAAAGTATTTAATTTTTAACATTTAATTATTTGAGGACAAGTAGGCTTTCTTGGATACAAGGCCGCCACTCCAACCTATCTACCTATATAAAATTATTTAAAAATATTTAATTTTTTATATTTAATAAGCAAAATTTGTAACTATTTTAAGGTTTACGTGGAGCCATGTCATTTGCATTAGCTATAAGAAATACTGTATCCGAAGCAAGACAAACAATGCTTACTGCAACATCTTTAATTGTTATATTTACTGTAGTAATACAGGGCGGTGCTGCTAACTTTTTGCTCAACTGGCTTAAAATACCGTAAGTTTAAAAATAACAACAACATAAATACATTTATAATATTCATAATTTTCAGAGTGGGTGTAGATGAAGAGACTGAACAATTAAATAACTATCAAGTTCGCAGCGTGAGTATTAACAGTCGCCTTTTAATTAATTAAGTTTATTTATTATAAATGTTTTGAAAATAATTTTAGAATACACATGTATGTTTAAATGTTCTATATTTTTATTGTATTATACAAAATTTGTTTTGAAAGTTTTGCGCCCAACATAAAAAGGAATATTTCCAACAATACTTTAATTCTTTAAGTCCCTCTTAACAGTGATATGTTTTAAAGTCTTTCAAATTTCGATTTAGCACGGTTGCCAATATTAAAGTGGCAAGAATTTTTGCTCTCTGAGTGAAATTTTGCGTGCACAAAGATGGATATCCCAAATGGCATCATGTTTAAGATGCACCCTTCCCTCTGTCGAACCCTCTCTTCGTTGACCATAACAGGATACCTATTGCAATGGTAATAACATAGCTAACAAGAGTGAGGTCGAATATAAACTAGAACTAACAGTCTTCCACACAGATGTAGTATCCTTTTCTAGACCTCGGTTGTATTGGAACAAAGTTCGCAATAAGCTCCGTCAAACAATTCTCAGGAAGAACAACGCATTCTCCGTGCAGTAAAAACTGTTCTAGTTGCTATAGTAGAGTATTGCGCTTAACAGTTACTTGTCACACATAAATGTGTCAATTTCCAATGTGTACCACAACTCTACCCCCTATGTGTCATCCATCTGTTTTCCTGTCCCAACGCATACAGAAACCTGAGTCCAATCGAGCTTTGGCTACGCCTCATATAAGTGACTACGTTTCTTCGTCTTAATCCCATTTCCATTAAATTTCACTTATTCTCTAATCCACTCTTACTTCCAAATAATCTCCCCTCTCACAACAATGACATCCTTTTCAGGTTTTTTGCTTGAAGCTCCATCAGAAGACTATTGTCTATTAAAACGTCTTGAAGTTACGTTTCGTCAATTGTTATGAATTTGCCTAAAACCTTTTTTTTTTCCTAAACCGTAAACCAACTCCTTAAATGTAAGCATCTTAGCATAACTGGCGTCCACATCTACTTTTTGTCACATTACTCGTCTTGAGTATCATTTGACGCCTTTCTGCTAGTGGCGTCAGATGCATAATAGTTCCCATATCCAATTCTTGCTACGTCATTGTGCGATGACATAGAGTTTCGGTAAACTTCATCTAATTCTGTTAAAATTGATCATTTCCAATTATTAAAATTTCGTAATTTTTAAAGAACAGAAGATAATATTTAGAGTTGATTTAAAGTTTGGGCGCAGATTTTCACACACCCTAAGTATATGTATTGTAGTATATGTACATATATTTTTAATGTGCAATTTTTTTTTTAATGTATAAAATGTGTTCAAAGGAAAGTGTCTAACATGTATAATTTGTTAAATGTATTTAGTATGTTTATAGTGTGTATACAATTGAACGTATTAGTGTGTTTTAATTTAATGATATTTACATAGTTAAATAAAAGTAAAGAACATTTATACAGAATCAGCTTATGTAGTCTTAAAACCTAAATATATTAATCAATATATACAAGCATATATACTCGTATTCGGTTAATTTTTTTAATTTTGTGTAATTAGATTGAAAGGTTTATAATTTCTTAAAATTGCTGAATGTTTTTGTATATTCGCTTTAGAATTTTTTGTAGCACCTTACATGTAATATAAAGCTAATTCAAATGTTTTTATAAATTAATAATATATTTGTCAAAATTTTTTCCATTTTTAATGCAATTTTCAAATAATTTATCATACAAAAAAAAACACCACAAAAAGGTTTACAATTCAATGGAAAATACAGCAACCGCGGTATGTTTTTATATGTGTTAAATCTTCTACTAAGCACTTTATGTTTTCACATTTATTTATTTTTTTGTTGCTGATTCAGTTGTTATGCTCATATATATATTCCAGATGATACACAACAAAAATTATTATTTGTTTATACGTAGTCCCCTTAAGAACTACGTGTGAACGACAAAAGAAGTTCACGTATCCATTTAGCAAGCAAAGCGTTTACTCTTCGATTAGGGATTTGCTTTTTTTTGTACAAAAGATCTGCTATGGTGTAGTGCTTTCGCTCCATTAGTCAATTTGTCCCTGTGTTTTATTTATTAATATATTACTAACTTATTGATTATTGATAAGCTTAATCGCAGTATTTTATGTACTTCACTTAATCAACTTTTCGAGCGGTATGTAAAGAAAATTCATATCTGGAAATTTCCAGATTTACAATTTACAGTTCCACAAAGTTCAATTAACTCACACTTTGTGGCTGTCCCAATATCGTTGTATGTTTTTACATGCAAACCACATTCAGTTACTAAATGTGGTTGCATCTGCGCAGAGCATTACTATTTGATTTCATTTCTATCATTGAGTTTGTCTGATGGTTTACAATATGTTTAAAAGGCATTTCAATACACATATAATTAAAATATTTTTATAGAATATTTATTTTGAAATAACATTTTAAATTTGTTAGACTTAAATATAACCCAACATACGTTTATTCCTGAGAAATAACTCCATACAAATGTTTTTTCTTTTTGTTTACATTTTCTGCAGCAATTATTTTGTTTAATAAAACCAAAATTTTAAGATTTTAAGATCTGCTTGTCTAATCTCTTTTGAAAGTGTTGAACGGTACTCGACCGTCAAAACTGAAGAATGCCTCCGGGATGTAGATCCGGCCGTTCTTGGAATCTACTCATTTTGTCGGATTTCTTTTTTCACGCTCTCCAGTGAATTTTCTTTTTTTAACACGCATTCAATGACGTTCCAAGCATAACACCTAAACTTGAATTATTTTTTTAAAATGAAACTAAAGAGATCCTAAACATCATACTAACCTTCGCCAAATGTTCTAAGTGGTTTTAAACCCTGAATTTCTTTATTATACGGTAACACAATGAGCCAATAGGCCTAAGTGATCTTTAATGTTTGATTAATTTACTTATATTCTTTTATACAAAGTGTTTCCTAAAAAAAGTGTCATAAATACAGAAGGTGATTTTTTGTTTATGATGCTTCAAAGTTGAAATCTTTAAGAAAAATCTTAAGCGAAAAAATCCCTAATATTTTAAAAATGGTTCAATCGTATTTCCTAAGTCATGTTTCATTTTGTAGTCTATTAATTATTGTTGATTTGGCTGCATATACTACATTATAGACTTTAAATACCTTCATAATGAATGTTTAATCGGTGTTAAATCATTATAATGTAAGAATCCAAGCTACAGCTCGATAAACATGGATTTATTTTTAGAAGTCAATACAGAACCATATATAAGATCGTAAGTAAAAACTAATAATAATAAAATTTGATTTAAATTTAAGCGCTATTTATGTTAAAGTGCAGTCCAATATTGCTTCCAGTCTGTAAACACCACCACACATTGTGTTCTTCAATATTCATCGATAGCTAATGAATCGCTTTTATGTCCATGTTTTATGTGGATATAGACACACTTCTGTGTGCGTTGTTTTTTTTGCCTAACAAAGTTTCTCAAACCAAAATGAACCTTATGATCTTATGGTGCTACACTTTGTAATCGTTTTTATCGGACACCTATTCCAAATATATATAAACCAATTATGTGTGATTCTTGATTCAACATAGTATATGTCTTTGCGTTATGATTTGTCAGGTGTTTGAGTGTCAATTTATTGTAAAATATATCTCCTAAAAAAATAGCCCGTTTTTTATGTACATATATTGTACAATTAAAAACTAAATAATTATCTTAAAATCAGTTGACCTGTATTTTATACATTGGACTGTAGTGAGGGTCGTCAGTTAAAGTAACAAGCGATTGTAGTCTAATCATGATTTGGTACTATGAATTTATAGTAGCAAGGTTTAATCTGAGAACTCTCTACCATTATCATTTGTACGTTTTAATTTATGAATTTTACATAATCATCTCTTCTCTCTTCATTTGTCTCATTTTGTATTGGCTCTAAATAGTAATACTCTGAGAATTCCGTACTATTGTCATTTGTATATTTTAATTATGAATTTTCTATAAACATCTCTCCATCTGTCTCATTTTGTATCGATCCTAAATAATGTACAACGCACATATTTGAATTATAAACTCAGTATAATTTCGTATATTTTGTTTAAGAAAAATTGTTTATACGTACTAGTCAAAATGAATATCTACACTTTAATGTTTTTTTATTTTAATTAAAAGTTTGTTACGAATTTTATATTTAGTTTAAAACCACATAAAATAATTTAATTATATTTATCTTTTACACTTAATATTAAACTTATAATATCAATTAAAATATATTTGCTAAATTTTTTTTTTTTTGATTTGTTATATTTTTTAAATAATTTAGTCCGATGGCTACTTACAGGATGTGGATACCGGAGACTTAGAAGGTGGTGGCGGTGGGGCAGATAATACCATTGGTGTTGGAGTTTCACCTGGTGCTTCAAGTGCGGGTAATTGTAGACGCAGCAATGAGAAAGCAATTCTTGCCAGAATTTGGGGGAACTTCGATACAAAGTGAGTGTTAAATAAATGTCTGATGTTGTTTAAATTTACCAAATGCTCAACATTTTGCAGATATATGAAACCATTGCTGACACATTCACGACCAACACTATTAGAGACTTTACCAGTTTGTTGCAACCCTGTGGCGCGTTTATTAACAACAACAGAGCAGCTAACACAGGTGCAAACATAATTACCTTTCAAATGTTTCACATTTCAATATTCTATTGTAAACTATTTGAGAAACCATATTATAAAGTTGATTTTTGAAGCTTACCCAATTTGACGCAATTGACTAAGCCAAGAGGTTTTACAGGTTTAATGAAAGCTATTAGGGTTTTTTATTATCATGATTTATATAAATTTAATAACTATAAACTTTAGAAGATCGGTTTAATATCATATTTTAGGAGTAGTTTTTATTTCAACACACATTTTTTATGCTATATTTAACTATTAGTTTTTATTAATAATATTAATTTTGCACTCTAAATTTTTCTCTGCTGTAAACGTACAGAACAAATTTAAACATATTTCAAAAACTCCAGAAATTGGTGGTTGAATTTGTAGAAGAGATGTTGTTGATTAAAGCATAGTTTGTTCGAGATCATCCGACCAATTACGTCCACGGATTATCCGGTTTACCGAAACATCCAAATCACTAAATATTATTTTATTTTCACCAATAATATAAAAAACTAACACACACGGTACCGCTCTTGCGGGCAGTCACAGAGAATGTGACTGGAAGTTTCGTCTGCTTCTAAACAGAGTCGACAATTTATCTCTTCGAACAGACCCATTTTGTTAAGCTGATAACGCAGTCCATGGTGACCCGTTAAATATCCTTAACTATTTTATTTCCACAATATACACGTTACTAGTATTTAATGAGACTTTTTTACTTAGAGCTCTATTCAGCAAAAGGTTAGAGTTCAATATGGATTATATCGATGATTGATCCGTCGTATTAACCAGATTTGGTTTCATTTAATTTTATTTATTTACAAATTTCAAAAAATGACTTGCTCGAAAGAAATTCGAGTAACCAAATTTGAACATAATCTCTTTAATTAATGGAAAATTCGAAGAATACTAATTTTCAGAATATTTCGAAAATTAAACTATCATTGCAGTAAGAGTAACAGAGCTAAAAAGAGTTTTTATCACGTTTTATTTACCACTGATCGTATTGATACATAGACCTAACACGGTTCAGAAGCTCAGCCCTTAATTCACATATTGAATGTGCTTTATTGCTTATACATACGCCTCCACGTAAATCGATTCGAATTAACATAGATTGAAGTGTGTTATAAAGGGGTGTAACTGACTTTTCAAACAAGCCAATATATATATATATATATGTATTAAAATTTATATAATGTATGTTTTAAGTACATCATAACAACTTAATAGCTTTTAACTAATCTATTTATTTACAACCGCATGTATTTACTTTTACATAATTCCAATAACAATGTACTCATACTGCTGACTGGTGCTTTATAAATCTATTTTCGGGGACTTTGCGCATATGATATAATTCTATGTATTATGCATGTTCACAGGATGGTGTGGGTATACGTCGTTCCGACTCTGATTCCGATATATGTGTCGATGATGATGATTTTATGCGTAATAATGGTGGAGGCGGTAGTGGTTCTGGCAGTGGCAATGTTGGTGCAGGTTTTATTGCATCAAGTGGTCAACGACGCAGCTCCATCAATCGTGTAAGTATACGTTTTGTCGCAGATGATCGCAGTTTATTTGCTAGCTACAAAAATCGAGATTAAATTGTTTATTTATTTAAAAAACCAATACATATATTTAGTAAAAAGAACCACAAAAAATTTTATGTAACTTAACGTAACGCAAAACTCAAACGTATACAATATTAAATGTGTTTTGTGAATCAATTTTACTTAAAAACGCCATTATCTGAATACCAAAGTGAGGAGTATTAATTATGTTAATTAGTTGCATATTTAATTTATTAATAAATAGGTTCATGTAATATTGTTTCTAATTCTTTTCAGTCGGCTCTGTGGTTTTAATTTGTTATTATTTTATTTGTTTATATATTAAAAAATTGTTTGGCGAGTATTTTAAATTATTTGTATATAATTTTGTATATTTGAATTTTATGAGCAATCTCAGAACTTATTGAAATATAGTATTTTAGTTGTATTCTATTAATATATGTTATGAAATTATATTAAATATTAAAAATTCCATATAACTATTAGCTTATAAGTTGCATGCTCCAATTAATTAAATAAAATTAAACACTAGTCCAACTAAATTTAATTTTTTTTCATATTTTTTCTGTGTATTTTTTCTTTACTATTATTACTAAAATAAACTAACACGAATACATAAAATTTTCGTTGCGGACTTAAAAAATATTAAAAATATTTATATATTTCTTTTAATAAAAAATTATACTTATATTTACGATTCTTTTTATTGTTGATGATATGCAAATTTGTAAAAAAAAAATATTCAATGTATTTGTTTTATTATAAATAATTAATTAAAAGTCAAATATTTTAAAAGAAACGTATCAACCATTAGTTGATCTTAGTATCGTTACTAACAATTTTATATAATAAAGAAAAAACTAAAATAAATAAAAGTTATACTAATTTTCTATTAGGTTGTTTAATACACCTTCATATTAATACATTACTAATCACTAATATCACTAACCATTTCTAAATAAATATATTATAATAGAAATAACTAATAAGGGTATGTGGTTCTCTTGCCCCTTCTTGTATGCTAGAAATGCATGTTGTTTATTTGATTTTAAAAGGACTACCATTATTATTTAATATAGTTTATAAATACATTGAAGCTAAAATATCGATTAACTTTGAAGATAATAAAACTGCGTTTCCAACGGTTATCCATTTGTGGTTCCAAAAGTAAACGTAAAACACATTTCTGATTGAGATTTCGGTGAGATTTTTATTTCAATATATTTTTTAGACTTTTGCATTAGTTACGATGTATAAAATCAAATTCAAATATTCCATTGTATGACTTGTAAAAGTATCTTATTGAAACAACATATCATCCAATTGAAAACTTGGACCTTATCATTGAATACATTCAAATATCCTTTACGGAACGTCTTACAATACTAGATCAGTTTAAGATAATTTTACAAACACTTTTTGGTTGACAATAGTGTGGAGAGATGTTCGTTTTCAAACATCTCCCCGGAATCTCTACAAGTCTTTGCGTAAATGCACAAAAAAAGTATTGATCAGTATTGACAGATCACATTATCCTGATGTCCAATATACATCATTAAAACTAGAAATTACACGTCCGGACAACAAAGGCAAAATGGAATGTATAGTATAGTTTGTGGTACCGCCTTGTTGAAGTCACATACTATTTTCTATAGCCACGTTTTTTTTTTATAAAAGTATGAAAATTAAACCTATGAGTTCTTCAAATCAAAAACAGTGATTTATTTTTTTGATGAAATGATCTTTTGAAAGCTATTTGCCCTAAATGTGACTAAATTGTTTGTTGATAATCCGTTAATCGAAAAATGTAGTCTACATGTACGAATTGTTCTCAATTTTTTTTATATATTTTTATCATAAATTCTATAAAGTAATTAAACTTATATGTAAGTCTATTTATTAAGATAGTGCCATTCACTATATTTACGATTAAGGTCGCTTGTATATTCCTAAAGTATTACTTTGTACTATCAATTTTTGTCTAGCTTCATATTATAGAGCATTGTAAATGGGTATATCTTTTTCTTTTAGGTAGGTTCTTTAGGTATTTAGTGAGTCTAATATTGAATTGCTATGTTATGTTAATATATTATAGCAAATAGTTTCACAGTCTTTTTCTTGACGTATTCAATAAATGGTACAAGTCGTAACTCTTTAGAAGTCACATAACGGACATACCAAGGGACTTTTATTGTGGTTTGTAGAATTTTGATGCCTACAGCTTAACGAAACCTAATACAAACCTATATGGTATAGAAATACTTTATAAGTAAGATTTCATAAACAATCGAAAAAGAACGGATTGTCACTGTGATTTATCAATAAACAAATTTTATCCCAGATCAAATTAGACTAGTCTCAAGTAATATCAAAGCGTTTATTATTTTGACTTTTTATTCCTATTTATTTAAAAAAGTTTCCTTTCACGTTAACGCAACGCTAAAAATATTTAATGAATTTTTCCAAACATCGATTGATTATACTTGTCAGACGGAGTTACCTGTGGTGTATGTGACAAAGCCTTTTGAATGACTGAAACCTTTCGCCCGTTTGCACAATTTTTAGTCAAAATACCATAGACTGTCTTTTTCAGTACAGCAATATCTCATTCTAACAGAGACGCAGCGATCTCTTCGAAAAAATTTTATAGACTTTTTCAATGTTTTGTTCGTAATAAGTCGTTTCTGTTCGTGATACTCGATGACGTTTGCAAAGTCCTCATGCCATTGTTATGAAATCGGCTAAAATTATTGAAAAACACAGGATATGTATTTTTTTTTAGTATATTTCTGTGTCACATTTGCTTTTAATATTCGTGCTCTTTTTCATGTTATTTTTTCGACTAACTTATATATAAAATGTGAAGTCACAACGAAGCGTGAAGAGTATTAACTTCAAATTTCACAGTAAGTAGATAAAGGCTACATCATTCACTTTCCACTCATTCACTCATAAATGTCACTATGCTATTTATTTTTATGAGACCAGTCTTATCGGTTCTACATAGACTGTATTTATATACATATATTGATGATAAATTCATATTGTGAAGTTTAATATTTCCAAATTTAGGAAAACCGTTGTTTTTAAATTGCTGATATTTAATTGAACTACATTAAAATATAAATATTTGTGAGTTACAGAAAATGGACTATTCAAAATTCATATTTTGATGCAACACAATAGTCTGTACAGTTGTACATTTGTGGTGTTAAATAGACTTAACTGACGATAAATATAATATTTTGTCGTCTCCTTTCTTCATACATTGACACGTATAAGTTGTTCCTTTTTTTTATTAACAATGATTTAACGGTTTTAAAAACTTAGCAAAAGAAGGGATAGTGCACTGCGACCTAAAAAATCTATTGTGACCCTTAGTCGGATTAGAGTGTTTCTCAAAGACAGTATAGAGCTTATCTTTTCTAGTTTTGAATCCTTATGATCCATGAAATACCCTTCTAGGGGTTTCTTCCGCTTGTGCATCAGTGCCGGGCACTCCTCAAGCATATGGTATGCAGTTTCTCTCTCTTCTCTATAGTATCGGCAGTTTGAGTTGGATTGAAGTCCTAGCTTCGATAGGTGATTGTTCAATCTACAGTAACCAGTCAATAATCCCGCAATAATTCTTAGGTAATTTTTTGATTGTTTTATACAATTTTTGAAATGTTTTAGGTAGTAAGTACCTAAAAGCATTTTAGATTGTGATAGTCTTGGTAGCCTTTCACAATAGAGTTATCTTTCTTTTTCCTCTGCGCCGTTCATAAGAATGGATAGACTTCCTTTGCCTAGACCACAGCATGGTTGTGGGTCTATCATTGTTGAAGCCACGCCTCTTCTTACAAGTTTGTCTACCATGTTCGGTATCTCCCATACACAAATTGAGCGCATATACATATGTGCTACAAATGAAACACGTCTAATGATAGCAACGTACAAAACCAATAAATTTTGACAACACCAGTAATTTTTTAAATCTTATTAATAAAAATTAAACTTGTATCGTTATTTGCACTAACCAAAATTGGATATGAATAAAATATATACGCGAATTTTGTTTTTACCTCACAAAGTTAAATATCGTATGTCGCTAGAGTTGAACCAAATCACAATAGTATAAAACAAGATTGCTTAACCGCCAGTGTAATGATCCGTGAATGTTGTATTTTCAAATTTAACAAAATTATTTTGTAGGAATACATTTTTACGGGTCCTTGTAAAGCACATTGAAGCTTTTTCGGGTTCACAGTACGTTTTAGGTTAAGAAACAGTTCTCTGCAATGTTTTTAAATGTTTCTTCTGAACGCACTTTACTTTTAAAAATTAGGCCATGTGCGAGTTCGAGTAAATTTAGGGAAATAGTAAATTATGTCGGTATAGCAGCGAATGTTGGTGTTTACCAGAATTTCGATTAGGGTAAATTGGATAAAAATTAGGTAAATTAGATGTTACCATTCCGAAAATTTTATGATGTTTAATAAATAAATAAATAAATAAATTTGAAAACTTTTAACCAAAAATAATAAATAAGTGCAATAAATAAATAAATAAATATTTACATAAGTGCTGTGCAAAAAATCCCTAGGAAATTTCAATTTACTTTACCTCAATTTACTCGAACTCGTACGCGGCCTAAGTATTTAATTTTTTTATATATAGTTATGTGTTATGTTATGTTTGCACACTATTTATTTTTTTGTTCTCAAGTAATTTGATTTGTTTCTTGTTTTAATTGTATTTGTTCTACTTTTCTTAATCATATTCCTTTCTTAATATTTATATAATATATATTTGCTTTTTAATAATATAAAACATTAAATTAGATGATTTTTATTTGTTTTCAGCCTGATAGGAGCTTGGGTGCAGCTTTAAATTAATTATTTAATTTTTTTGAATTTTTTTTAATAAAATTTAAATATTTAAATATTAATTGTTATTTAAAATTTCTATTATAAAATCGAATATTTTTTATTTTGTTATTTTTTGAACTTAAGGTTGTTTATCTTTAAAAGTACATAAATTAAACGTTGTTATAGTTTTAATATAAACAATATATGTAATTGAATTTATTTATTCCTATTGTTTTGTGATTTAAATTTACTACAAATGAAATTAATTTTAAATGCGAGTACTTGTCACTTTTAAAATTATATTTAAGTTTTAATTAGATATAAATTATATTTAAAAATATTGCAGTGATATTATTTAACGAA